ATAGAGGCACATCTAAAACATGCAGAGCAGGGGGGCGGTGAGAACCAGGGTTGAGAAACACTGCGCTACACTCAGTAACTCTACAGTCCACATTCACTGTTTTCTTTTTTTTTTGTTTGTTTTTTGTTTTTTAAGTTTGAACCATATAAAATGACTTTTTATTCAGGTTGCTGAATATCATGTCCTGTTTAAACCATGTGTTTAGAAATGGGGTCCAACCGACCCCACACACGTAAAACTTGTATCATTTGCCACAGTCCTCACACGCACAACGGTTAACTGCCGTGTAAGTTTGCTCTGAAATAGTTCAGGAGTTCTCTCGTCATAGTTTGCTTCTAGGAGGACAGAAAGTGCCGAGTAAATTTTCCAACTTATGAAAATTTGATTTGAAGAGGTTCAGTTATGATGCAGTTGGAATGGAAAGGCTTTCTAGTTTATTGAAGTAGCATAATTTAACAGTGCTGCAGTTTTCTAACATTGATCTGTGGAGTCTTTTTTTTTTTTGTCTCCTTTACTATTCTTCCCAGAGTGGGTGGTGATAAAATAAACTTGGGTTCTTATCCAGACTGGTGTGTCCCAATTAGAGTAGTTTCAGACTTTTTAGTATTGCTCTGGCTGCAGATGTGGGAAGAAACTATTTCCTTAAAGCCATTTCCTGACTGAATAAGATCAGAACAAACCTGTCTTACTGGAAGGACATGTTCTACCTTTCCCATTTTAAAGTGTACTGTTGCACACTCTGCTATTTCATCTGGTAAAAGTACATTACAAATAAAAATTACTTAATTAATAACTTACTAAGATAAATTGGCTTCTCTGTCTGGTCATATTTATACCGCAAGGAAACAGGAAGTGAGGGATTTCTAATTAAAAGACCCTAGACACATTGATCAACTTAAGGAAGTATTCCAGAGTTTTACTAATTGGGGCAAAAACATAACATTAAACATAATTTGTTATAAATATTTATTCCTTAACATTTTTTTTTCTCTTAAATAATAGAGACTTGAAATAAAATTGAGGTT